CCTTATTTTCTACCAAATGATAAAGTCACAATGGTTTTCGTGGACTCCTTATGCACATATTGACCCCGGATTTCTCCAGAGAGAAAGTGAATGTAGGCTAGACATTGTGAGGCAACAGGAAACCAGAGAACCTCCCTGGAGATGCACAGCATCACAATCTCTTTGATTATTCTAGAATGCAGATTTCTGGCAAAATCTTCAAACAATATGCACATTCAGGTCACACGTGAGGTACAGTTTGCCAGTTTGTAACTGCTCTATACTTCGATGTAATTTGTTCCTTTGCCAAAAATGTTCTCTCCCTCTCTGAGCCGGGAAGATAGCTCAAAGTCTTTGTTCACTATGATCAAATCATGGCCTTCCTCTTGCCCATGTTCTAGGGTGATGGGAGCTGAAAACCTCACTGTAGTTCCCTGAGTATAGCTATTATTTTTTAAACTCTTTCCAGACACTGAGGATTAACTCAAATAATATTGTTTTACTTTTTCAAGTACACTGTGCATTGTCTGTTTATTTTCTTTAACAAGTGCAGAAAACAAGGCCCCGAGAAACTAACTTATCTAACATCAAGTCTAATGAAGGTAGAAAACATCTTCATATCTCAGATCTTTGTCTTATCTCAAAGACCAAGGTATTAAAATTTGTGATCTTTACTGCACGGCTGCTTCTTTTTCTTTTGGTCGTTTTTATTTTTCCCACATAAACAAAGATCTCTTTGATGGGCAATACATTTTACAAATACTTCTTGTTCCTTCAGTCCGTCTGTTCATTAGTTACTAGCAATCTCTGCTACCCACTCTGATAAGGACTCAGTTGCTGGATATCACTGTGTGAGAATCACAAGGGAAGTAGAGAGTAAACATTTATTTCATGTGCAGCATAATGAGCTGCTTAAACTCTCTAGCTGGGGAGCCAGATGGACTGAGTTGGGAGTCAGTTCTGTCCCTTACCAGCTCTGTAATTTGGGGTCATGTACTTTATCTGGGCCTCCGTTCCCTCATCTGTAAAGATAGCTAACCAACCCCCTGCCCTTTTCAAGTACTGAGTTCATACACATAAAATTCTTAGAATCTAAATGACCAGTGAATATTAGTGAGATGGTTAAGTTTACATGTCCTCTTGGACAGACCATGGTGTCCTTTTGTTTGGTCAGCACTAACTTAGATTTGGATATTAAAGATGTATTTTTTTGTGATTTGAACTCAACTCAGTAGACTGTAAAGCAGATCACCCTCCATAATGTGGTGGGTATTATCCAAAAAGGGAAGACTGAGGTTCCTCAAAAAATAAGAAATTCTCATCAAGATGATGAGATCAACTCTTAATTCAGGCTCCAGTCTACTGAGATGCTCTACAAATTTTTGACTTGACAACACCCATAATTGCATGAGATAATTTCTCTCTCCCTCTCTCCCTCTCTCTCTGTCTCTCCACACACACATAGAAGCACACACATCACATGCACACCATGATTCCATTATCAACTTAGTTGGTCTGCCTAGCATTGCTACTGATTAAAATTAATCATTTCCTTCCAAATAACACAAAGAAATAATGAGAACAGTCCTTTGCCAACTTGCTTCGAAGTAGACACAGGAGATTTTATAGCTGAAAGTGCATTTTTCTCATTTTATCCAATAGAAAGCTAGCCAGGCTAGCACAACACAGATACTATATGAATTTTTCAAGTTTCTGTACTAGTAAGTATAATTAGGACTTCTTGTAAAGTTGGAAATTTGAAACACCATCCCTCATGCTCTCTCAAAAACCCCAAGGAATTTGAGAAGGTAATTTTTTTTTAATTTATGGTAAACACACACTGATGGCTCCTGATAAACTTTCACACTTGAATTGTAACTCCTCTCTCAAACCCTAAATAATCACATGGCAGATTATTTACTGAGTTAAGGCACCCAGACTGTCTGCCTCTACCACCTGAGCAGTCCATAACATGAACACATATTATCCCTAAGTCAAAACTGATATCCAAAAACTTTCTTATTCTCATCAGCAACCGTTTCTGACAGTCTTGCATGCTGCCTCTTGAGATCTTATTCATTACTCTACAGCCTCTTCAATCATTCACAGACTCACCTTTCTTTCCTTCTCTTCCTTTATGCATCTCTTCTACTGGTCCACAGGATGAAGGCTAAGCCCATGCATCAGACACATATGTCAGGAGAGAAAATAAATCAGTGAGCTCTTCAGATCTCCTTCTTTCCTCCTCAGTGGCAACATGTTTCCAACCCCGAGATTCTAGGTCCTCCTGCCATAGAATCTTTGTGCACTGCAACAAGGCTTAGGAAGAGCTTAAGAATGAGTGGAACACCTCATCGCTGCCTGGAGCTACAAGTATAAGACGTCTGAACCCATCCAGAAAGCCAACTGTATTCCATTGTGTTGGTTCACATGGAGAAATGCTGTAGGCTAGTCGCTGAAGGCATGAACTTCAGACTCAAACTATGTTGTTTGGAACGTTAACGCTGTTCTTTGCTATGTATAGCCCTGGCTAAGCAACTCAACCTGTCTCTCTCTGCTGTCTTCACATAGAAGTAGCATGTAAAACCCTGACCTCAACACTTGGTGAGAATATCTTGGTGCTAGCAGTGATTACTTAGGATCACAAGGCTTTGGATTTTTTTTTAGACCTTTTAGAAATTAACCCCTACCTCTTATGGATATGGAAAAGAAATGATTTATATCAGAGGCCACAGCAGACTCACCAACTCCATCTGCCACACCACTGCCAGCTTGTCTAGAATCTGACTTGATGGATCATTTAAGAAAAACTAGAGTTTGTAAGATGTTTTTCATCTGAGACAGCAGATTTATGCTGAGCTATTATAGAGCCTGTCCTCTTCGCTGGGGCTAAAGACAGAAAACTAGACAGGATTAGGATTCCAGAGTCTGGAGCACCTTGGAGCAAACAGCAGTCACCTCAGCCTCAAAAACACAGTTGTGGGCAGTGAAGTAACCAGCCACACACAGACCTGGAATGTAAAAAACAAAAACACAGGGCCCTGTTGACCACAGAATCCAACCTTTCAACTCCTCGCCACCTGCAGGCTGATAGGAACAGGTCTAATGCAGATTAAAAATGCCTTGTTCATAAATCTATCTATCGAGCTCAAATCTTATCTTTAAAAGATCATTTTAATTCTGAAAAGCTAAGAACATGAAGGAAAAGCCACGTTTATCTGATTCTCAGAGTACTGGTCTGATCCTACACACGCTGCATAGTTTCTCTGATCTGGGGAATAAATGAAATGGGATCGGCATCTCTTCATTGGCACCAACAGGTATCTATGGAGTGAGTCAGCCTGTGGACCAAGAACCAGGGGGGGGTTGAATGTACGCAGCCTTGTTCTCCAGAAAGATGTTGCTCAGAGCCTTCCTGGGACCGGTGGAAACTGGGAGAAGGATCACACTCACTAATTTCAACCTTGCCTGTTCCAAGTTAATAGTCTTCATGTCTCTAGATCCTGTCATCCTCTGCTTTCAGCTTCCCAAATCCCTGTGCAGACCAGATGCTTACCTGCGCCAGACTTCTGGAACAGGTAGGAGGGAATGAGGGTGATAGCGCTTTGCCATTTCTCTCCTTCCCTTCGGATCATGTTTTACCATTTCACTCTTGTGGCAGCTCTTCTGGTATATATGGGTATCTCTTGTTCTTTTCGTGTTTATTTCTGCCAAATTTCTTCTGTTTTTTGTTTTGTTTTGGTTTGGTTTTTTAGTGAAACCATAGAGCTTTCTCCTCCCACCGTACACAAAAAGCAGTTGGGAAAACATTTTAATTATTTCCAACCACAACATCACATCTGAATGACTACAGAGAAGAAGGCTTTAGGGACACACACAAGGAAGCTAAAATTCTCACTGAACTAGACCAGACTGCCAACTCTCGGCCCAGCCCCATGCTTCTAGGGGAACGCTGCTTTGATACGTACACTGATCAATAACATTGGGTAACCAATGGATGAAACACTACAGAGGTTTTGTGTGTGTGTGTGTGTGTGTGTGTGTGTGTGTGTGTGTGTGTGTGTTAGAGTGACGGGATAGCAACCTGCATTTGCGGGGAGAATAGACCGATGTATTTCATTCAGTTCAAGATGTCATAGGAAGCCCGGTGGGCTGGGAATCAAGTATTGGATTTGCTAAGCGATGCCGTAGAAGCTGTATTTTCCTTTTGGCTCTATAAAGTGGGAAGAGGTAGAGGAGAGAGAGAGGGAAAAAGAGAAACAAAGAGAGAGAGAGGGAGGGAGAGAGGGAGAGAAAGACAGTGACACACGGAGACACACAAAGACAGACAGAGAGACAGAGAGAGACGAGACTGAGAGAGAAAGGGAGGTGTCACTCAGGACCCTGAAGGGACACAGGGACAGGGAAAGGACAGAGGGAAGAGACTGAACTGAACACAAGGGAGGGAATGTGCCGAAGGAAGGAAGGAAGGAAGGAAGGAAGGAAGGAAGGAAGGAAGGAAGGAAGGAAGGAAGGCAGGCAGGCAGGCAGGCAGGCAGAGCTCAGCAGGACTGTGTTTTTGGTAATTTACTGCAAAAGTGCAAAGCGAATGCGCAGCTCTGGCGGGCGGCACGGTTTTGCGCTCTGGGTGTGTTTGCACCGACCCGCTGATTCCGTGACTGCGGCGCGAAGGCGAATGAATGGAGCGCCGTCGGGGCTGGCGCGCGGGGCGGGCCGGGTCACGCGGACGGAACCGAACCGCGCTGCGCCGCCCGCGGG